TCCGGTATTGCGAAAATGGATACTCTGTTCCAGAGGAGAGAGCATGATTTCATATACCCTGTCCCAGAGAGAGCGCGATTTTACATACCCTGTTCATGATAAGAAGCTTGAAAACCCATATCCTGTTCAGCGGATCATCCCCAAATAGTCCATATATGGGAGTACCCCCCCCCCCCCCCCAGGGCATTTTGCCATCGACTGCCAAATTCAACATATTCAAAGGCGAGTGAATTTTCATAAAGCAAAATCAGACATCCTGGACACTGAATTCGGCAATTTACGATTCTTGGTCGACGCCAATAATATCCCAAATCACTTATTATTTCATTCTAGTTTTCCGGATCTATATGTTAAATTTTATCTCTTTCCTTTCTCCCAAAAATACTCTTCCATTGGAATAAACACTATATTTAGTTACTAAACAACCTGGAGGGGGTGGGGGGGCACTTAATTGTGATCTCCAAAGCCTTGACCCTATCTAAGACGAGACTTATATAGCCTTTTTATGTCCCCTTAACAGTTCCCTGCGCCATCTTGAAAGGCAGCCGTGCCTTTGCATCGAAGCGAGACGAACGCTCAGCTTGCAATGATAGAGACCTTTTTTTAACGCCTTGAACAATTATTCACAGGTCCCCATCATTGCAAGCTCACCCTTTGTCTCGCTTCGATGCAAAGGCCCAGCTACCTTTCAAGATGGCGAAGGGAACCGTGAAGGGGTCTATTGCAGGCTTGTTTTTAATTTTTCATGAAATCTGATCATGATGTAATAAATGAAGTAAGAGTGATGAAGTCATCACAGCACTAATTACAAAATGATCCATTTCACAAATTGGTTTTATGTATGAGCATAAAACATAAGAAAAAACTCTTAGAGATTTTAATCTTTTCCATATTGCAACCCTGGGTGGTGAATAGGTAAGACCCCCCGCCCTTAATAATATTTTTTATTTCTTGAATATTTAAAGTTAACACCCTTTATATTTTTACCTCACTTTTTTCATCCTTCATACTTTGTTCCATTTTCTGGACAAAGCCAAAATCTTGATTTTGCAATTCAACTTCCATTTCTTCCCTTTGAAATTAAAAAAAATATATAGAATATTAACTAATCTTCCTTTTTGAAAAAATGATTGAACCCTTGCTATAGAAATATTTTAAATCAAAAGTCTTTGAGTTAGAGCAAAAATTATTGAATTTAGCATTAAACGTATCATAACAGAAAATCATTACATCAAGAGGAAAAGTATAACCTATTTCCAAATTCAAGAATTTTTTGATCTGAGTCTAAGATTTTTGGTTTAAGGTAGGATTATAATAAACTGTTTAGCTTTGTTTTTTACCCTGTTCCTTTGATAAGAGCATCAGCAAATGAACAATCTCTAACTAGTTGACCATCATCAGGTGAATTAAGATTTCTTTCACTCAACGCAATATCTTTCCTCTCGGGATGACCCATTTCTATTGCAATGCTTCCACTACCACTGTCATCTACTGGAAATATTCTGTTACTACCAATTTTCTGAAAAAAGGAAGGGTTTTTAAATCTCCATGTTTGTACAAGTTATAAAATAGGGGTAAATCTTAGAGCCTTCAAACATAAGTACTTAACACTTAGCATCAGTGTGAGATGGGGGTACATGTGATTTGGGCTAAAAAGAATGTGTAATGTATGTAAAAATAGCAAAATGTTGAGCATGATTCATTCATGAATTCCAGGTTTAGATTACTGTGACAAGTGATTCTTGTCTTGAAATGTTTGATTCTTAAATAATTGCTAAAATGATTTCCAGTTAATATTCATTTGACCCCCTCACTCCCCCCCCCAATCCCTCCCCC